GGAAGACAGAGCGAAATTTGATCAATAGCCAAGATGTTTGAAAGGATTGTTAGAATTTACCAATGCGCGAAGTATTAAATTATTGATTATTGTTAAATTAACATTTTTATATACGCGCGGCGCTATAAATACATGAGAAATTTTTCAAGAATTGCTTCAAGAACTATTGAAGCTCTCGAACGGTTTTGAAATATACAGATTATAAAAATATTTAATGTTTATTAATATTTATTATAAAAATATTTATCTTTATTAATTTATACATATATATTATGTACGTGAAACTAAAGATTATCGTAATAATTTTCACTTTCGATTCATGTCATAAAATTAAAGAAATTATAAGTTACAGAATTTGAACATTTCACAAGTATAGATATATGCTGTTAATTCTTTATTTTACGATCAAATTAGATTAATTTGATTTTACTTTGACCTTAATAAGATTTATACTTTTAATAAATTTATTCATTATTATTAATATATGTAAAGCTTATTTGAATACTTGAAAACTAAAATATCCAAAAGAATTAAAAAAACATCCGAAAAAGTAAAATATCCGAAAGAAAGTTTCTGCTTTTTTTCTTTCTTATATAAAGGAGTACAATGTTATTAAAAAAATCATATTATAATCATGCCTGCTTTCGCTTTGAATTGTTTCTTGGTAATGTATGCATTTCCGAACTTTTTAACGCCGTCGAAACTCACATAATTTGCGCGTCTGTTATAATAATAATAATAGATACATAATGCTATTCTACTCATATAGTTATCTGTTCATAACAACTATAATTCATACAGTGTGAGCAACGCAGTTTGCATCAGAATAGTACCTGCGGCGCGTACTAGTTTCGAAACATTTAATTATTAGCTGTATAAACTTTGTAACACGTTTATGCCGTTTATCCCTGTTCCCTCGGTAAAGCCGTATTAACCATGGTAAACCTTCGCACCTCTTCAATAGATTCCACTTACATATGATAGCGAAATGTCAAAAGTGATGTAATCGGATAGTATCGCGAATGGAAATCAGGTTTGTTCCATGAAAATGTAATTAAATGATGACGAACAAGGAGAAAAATATAAAATTACTCCAAATTAATCTTTAAAAATAGTGAAACAATATGAAATAACGATCAATAATACGAAGGAGAAAATAAAATAAAATTTTTTGTTTCATAAATTATATATATCACTTTTTGCTTTAATGTAAGAACAAATTTCTTAATGCATTCTTGTATAAACAAAAAATTATCCGAACAAAATCGAGGATTGTTTTATCAAACTGTAATTAAATGTCATTCATGCAAAAAAATAGGAAAACGTGATGTTAAAAATGTTAAAATAAAACAAGACAAGATAATCATGAGAAATAAAAGGAGGAGAAGAGTAAAATGAAATTTTTTTTATTTTATAGATCAAACATCGTTTCTACGCATTGGAATAAATTTTCTCTCCAATATATTTCCGTTTATCCGCCCTTACGACGTACGAGCTGTCTCAAACAGAATTCTCTGCATGCCCAGCCACAATTGTTCGCCATCTCGTTATAGATCGTGATGATGACAGGTACGAACGTCGTGGAAACTGCTACGTAGTGAGTATAGTTGTATTGTTTCATTGGGATTACATCCGATCGCCACCGTGATCTCATTTGTGCTCGGAGATTGTAAGACTATCTACATGTACAGTGTGTGTTTCAAACTTTACGTTTATTTCTTATAAATTATCGTTAATCTAAAATCAGTCTTTTGATAGCATCTCTTAAAGCCGCGAGCACTGCTATTTTGACTAGCAAATTTGTTTTCGAACCAATGAAGAAGTTTGTGAAGTTAAAAAATCCGGAGCTTTCAAAACATCCTGTGAAAATATGATATACGATCTGAAAATGTCAGCAACACATTATTGTGACGAGCAAAAATATAAGAAAAAAAAGAGTTATTTTTTTATCCATGCTTTCTATATAATACTTAAAAATAAATTCCGCCTCTCATTTTCTTTTCTTATTTAGAGAAATAATGACACCTTATGTAATCAATTATTAAAACCATTATTATTTTAGTTAACCCGTTCTATTGTACTTATTTTTATTTGAGAAATAGGAAAATGGATATACGATGCAAAATTAATTTGTCACATTTATTTATTTTGTATATATTTTGATATATTTTATTTGTTATAAAGTGTACATTCGTATTTCAAAATATGATTTGCAAGACGAACGGTGATATTGTTATCGAATCACGTGAAACCAATAAATAGCCAAAGATTTATATAAGTCCCTCTTAGTACAGGAAGGAAAAGTCCACAAGTTCTCGGAAAAAGTAAATGCTTAATGATTACATGAAGATTTTTCACGGTTGAGTCAGTTACATTAAAGTTGAAATTTCAATCGTAATAAGAGCTTACCGTAAAACTCGTGAGAATTTCGCAGACCGTGCATTCGCGTTTACAATGGTAACACGATAAGACAAACTTGACGTATCGAACGTCAATAACGTTCTCGCGACAGTAACTTCCATAACATGCTTATGCAAAAAAGAATGACATCTCCCTTTCAGACGTCACAAGTGTGCTTCTAAAGTATTGAATTTGCGAAGCGAACAGAATGGAAATTTTTCAAAAATATTAAAGATATTAAACATGACAATTTATCATTTACTTATTGAAATTTCTTTGCAAATAGAATGTCATATTTTGATTCTTATTAAAAAAATTAATCATTTAATTATTTTTACAATATTAATTAAATAATTAGAAAGACGTAAAAAAATAATTTAACTAATAATCTTTCGAAATTTCGAATGTCTATGTTGACTTCTAAAACAAATAAAAATTGTTGTTAAAAAATAAAATTTTTTAAATTAAAAAGTAAATGATTTACTTTTGTAACAAACAGGAAAATTAATCTTTTTATAAAAAATAATCTGGAGTGAAGAGACGTTCTTTAGAAAAAGGAATGCAAGAAATATATTATAATAGTAATTAATTTTTTGAAAACCCTGAATATAATATTTTAATTATTGTTTAGGCTTAATTTAAGCTAAAAATAAAGAGACAGATATAAAAAGATATAAAAAAATGTTGAACTAATTGTTTTCTAAAGTCGGCAAATAGGATTGAAGAGTAAATTAACTAGATTGGTAGAAGTTAAAAGCTAAAAAAGAAAGAGAGAGTTGTGCTAAAAGAATTTTCTGATTCACGCTACTTTCTCGAAAGAAAGTTGTCGTGTCCAATACCAATTGACCTGATTGGCTTGAGCTTACTCGACTCCATGGGATTTAACGGTTGCTATACACGCAACGATATATATACTTAAATTAGCAATAGTGATTTCTATGACTTAGTAGCAATCAAACATCGACAATAATGATATTTAGATTTGATCTTTAATAAACGATCAAACATCGACAATAATGACATTTAAATTATACAAGTTTGGAAATTTACGCCATTGTTCCAAAATTGGCTTAATTTCCGATGATTAATTTTATCTCCGATTAATTTTCTACCTGTCAATCTATAATGTTTTGTATATGTAGTTGTAGAAGATAAACAGTGCTTATTGGCCACTATATAGTTGCCGCTTTAATTACGAACTTCTGTAATTGGAGTAATTTCAGTAGAAATGAATGTGTAAGGAAACTAATAAAAGTTTAAGATAAGGAAATATATCAAGAAATAACCTGCAAAATCAATTCAAAATTAATAATATATAGCAATAATTTTATACACTAAAAAAAAGGATTGGCTGCTGCAGCAAATTAGATGGTAAAAAGGCATATCATTTTTAATTAGCTGCAGCAACCAATGTTTGCTTGCAGCAGTCAATTTTTGATTAGTCTATCTGCAATGTCAGTATAGGATTTCGATGGTCTAACGCAATCAAAAATTAATTGCTGCAATCAATTAAATATGCTATGCCATATTCAGCCAATCTTTTTTTTCAATATGTAAATGGAAAAAAGCTTCTTTTTAATATCTTTCTGTCTAATCATATTACTCGGATATTAAAAAAAAATATTTATAATTTTACTGAAAGTTTCTATTTGCTTCTGAATTTTATATCGATTTTCTAGTTTCTATGATAAAAAATATAATTTACTGTGAACTGAATTAATTTATGAACTATAAATCTATTCTGTTATATTGAGCGTGTATTATACTGAACTTTTCTGTGATGAATGACCTGTTGATTCGGAAATATCGAAGTGGATAAGTACTTATTAGAGTGTGTACGAGATCCTGTCTACGAGTGATCCTCTTTAAGAAATGAATGATAATTTTTATTCTCTGAGTAATATGTATTGTTAAAATTGATAAATATTTGTAAATAATTGATAAAAATGTCAGAATGATTTAGATAAAAAAAAGAAGTATTTTTAGAATGTGCAACTTATTTTCATTGCAAATTAATATTTTATATAATCATGCTAAAAAAGTATATGTATATTAGTATATGTATATTAATATGAGATATTAATACGAAAAAGATATCTCTAAAAGTTTAATATAAAACATTTATAAATTTTAAAACGCGGATATACGTGCTATAAAAATTTTTTCACTTTTCCTATTTCTCCCATCTGTGCACAATTTAATTTTTGCATGTAATAGACTTTTTTGTGTCCTCGATATCAACTTTGATTAAGGTTTTTTATTAATCATTAATAAGTTAACTAAAAAAACCTTGTTTTTCGTTCGAAGGTTCAACCATTAAATTCGAAATTCCAACACGCTTTTAGGATATTTTACATTTCTCTTTACATTCGTGATTTATTAACCTACTTACATTTCTCACATTCGATTCGCTCGAACGTTTTCACGAAAACAAGTGTTAACACAACTATTAAATGTCGAGGTCTTAATTAGAGAAGGCACGGGTGATCGATAGCCGACCTTTTCGACAGTTGGCGATTGGTCGGTGGCAACATGGAAGTTATTTAGAACTTCGTAAATTAACGAGCAATGAAGTTGTTGCTGTAGTACTTCGACTCGACGCAACGTTCCAAAGTCTCGATTCCCGCGGGAAGTAATGATTGCGCAATTAAATCTTTTGGGACAGATGCGACATGCCGACTGGTTTAATTTGCTTAACGATGAGAGCTGTTAGGGCTTCGAAGGCTCTTACATTTGCACCTTATTATGTTCCACTGTTAAGTAGCGATTGGTTTACGAGTGGGCATGAATACGGCACGGAATAGAAACGCAGTACTTGCAATTGCAGTGAATTATACACACACACACATTTTGTTCGTGAACTGCTATATGTTAGAAATTTATATTACCAATGTTCTCCAATTATTTTTATTGGCATATTGATTGTTAAGGATTGTATCAGATATATAATCTCTACAAAAGTGACTGAAATTGGAAAATAAATGTCATATATCTACGTAATAAACAGATATATTTTAAAAAATCAATATTAATATTTAATTATACTATTTCATAGTTTAAATGAAAATTTTTTTATTTCACATTAATTATTTTTTAAGAATATGTCTACTTTTTATTGAAATATTAGGTGTTGGAATTAATTCGTAGCGTTTTACAAGTGATGGGAAGTACTTTCATTAATGTATTTTTTAATGCTCATGTGAAATAAATAACATTCTTTCATTAAAAAACGCTACGAATTAATTCCAACACCTAATATAATTTTTGATGCAAGTTATAAATAGCAATTTTTTTAAATTTTTAAATACATTATAGAAAAATCTGTAATTATTTTATAATTTTTTCATTTTATTAAAATACATGTAATACGTTCTTAATATTAGAATGATACAACATTTTTAATGTTTCTTACCTCTTTTATTTTGAAGTTCGCACACATAATTCTCTTTTGAAAGAGAGAGAGAGAGGCATAATTACGATAATAAACATAAAATAACGATTTTATCTTAGAATTTTAGTGAATGAATTTTCTATAATTTGTTTGAGAAAGATACGCAAGGGAAGTATATAATTAAACTTGCTTTAATTAAACAGACGGAAATAATGCGCGAAGCAGCGAGCGCGGAATGATCTCTTGAGGAAATTCCTTGCCCTTAATGCATATCCTTTACATGCGTCCCGTCTAGGGCGTCAAATTTAATACCTCTGTGAGATAATATTACCAGTTTCCTAGAAGATTCTTTTGGGGAAATTAATATAAAACATTGGACACACTCATTAAAGCATAATTATTTGAGATTAAAAAACATCATAATTATATATACATGTAAATCTAATATAAATATATATATAACATATATATATATATATATTTATATATATATATACATATATATATACATACTATTTAGAACATCTATTTAAAAATTTATCGATTATTTGCGAAATAAAATTATTTAATACTATATGTTAAATTCGTAATGTCAGATTATATCCAGTTTGAGTTATTTTTAATCATTTAATCACGTTTCTATACTCAAAATGTTGTTAATTTAACTAAAACAATGGAATTAAACAATTTAATTTAAAAAATTTATCAAATTTATTTACTCAAATCTAATATATTAAAATACATGTATTAACAATATGCAAATGGACGTTGTTTATATTGAAACTAATCACAGAAATGGATTATTTACCACATATGGAAGTTATTTTGCCATATATGGAAGTTAAAATTAACGAAATATTATTAACTCAAGAGTTTGAATTGTTCCTTTGATAAACATCTAACATGCCCATTCAATTAGACGTTCCTACAAAATAGTTTTAGGAATAATGCCATCACGATGCTTGCGTAATAACCGTCGCATAATAGGTCTTACTAACACGCTTTTCGTTGAAATGTTATTTGTGAAAACTGAACAAGCAACACAAGTACAGCCTGGCTTTTAACTTGACGTTCTGTTACGGTACACTTATCTTAGAATTGTCTTGTACTTCTGATAAATCTGATAATTTAAAAAACTTAAAATTCGAAAGAATATTTTCTAGCATATATTGGTACATAATAAAAAAACATTTAAAATTAATTCTTTTGAGGATGCATAAGTCACAGTTTTTGATTTAAAAAAATAGTTCTCATGATCTACGATTTTTATAATTTTTTTATTGGTAAATGACATTACCGAATGATAAATTCTAGTTGCATTTTCAAATCTTCAATTTTGCGTTTCTATCATTTACTGCCGGATTTGCCATGTTACGTTATTATTAAAACGTAATTATTGAAATTTCACTTTGTTACAATAAATAACGTTTATAGCGCAGAATTAATGGATAAACAGCAATTACTAGAAAGCAAAATTTTATTTGTCATAATGCATCGTTACATTCACGATGTACAGATTTTTAAATCTTGAACGAAGCCGCAGCGATTGGTCCAGTGCAGAAGCCGGGCTAATTTTTTCACGCAAGAACAGGGTTGCCATAAAACTGGAAATCCGAGAAATGTCAGAGAAATTAAAAACAATCAGGGAAATAAAAAAATAGTCAGGAAATTTTGTAAAATTTTCTAGAAAATTAAAATTTTTGATTTTAAAGAAACTTAATATGCTTACATTCACGCAGTTTTAGAATGCTACCAACTTAACAATTAAATTGAAGTGGACGTCAACAACGTTAATAATGATTTGCTACGTTAAATTATTCTCTTAATAATTGAGAATAAATTGCTTTCTTAATACTCTCTAAAATAATTGATGGTTTCTAAATCAAGATAAAAATACAAAAAATTTCAAAATATTATTGAAAGCATTAGGGAATTTCAAGAAATTTTAGGATGAGGAATTTGTGACAACCCTGAAAAATTGATCAAAATTTTGTGTTCGCAGCATGCGGATGAGCAGAGAGCTAAAAAACATTCCACGACCAGACTGTCCGTATGCAGATTAGTGAGCGTTCATCCCCGATAATCGATACATCTCAGCGATAGTTCATTTTACTCGGGAACGTTCTGAAAATGAAAATCGCCCGATCACAATGAAGTCCCCGGCGGCGTGTGGATACGAACTCTGGTGAGTTTGATTTTATTTCTTTCCCTTTCTCCCCAACTGTCTCTCTGCCTGTTCTCTCGTTCGACCGCATTTGAATTCTTTACGCACCACTCATTTTGTACCTGAGGCACGAAAAGTAATTTCTCTACCAGCATTCCCTCAAGATTACGTACTGTGAGCAATCTTCTGTACCGAATACATTATAAATTCTCTTTTCTCTGATTCCTTTTATCCACCTCGTACGCGTATACATACACAAATACAATACACATTCGCTCAAATATTTTTTCCTCTCATGAGGATAAGCGCGAGACAATGAAGTTCTCGTTTTCAAAAAACACAATACGATCTTATGTAAACCGCACCTTAATCGTGAGACTTCGTTTATCCTGTAAAAGCTTTGTTCTAATCGAGACGTAGTCTCTTTTGAGCATTACACATACACAAGGCGCTTATCGAACGCGTGTTGGCTAAGTCCACAGAAACTGTCCGAGACGTCTTATCTGTCTCGGTGGGATATATATTGAGAATCCGATAAGTATCAGCCCTTTTCCGACAGAACTCGAAATCGAGGATTTCCGAGAGGAATTTACTTCCCTCCATCTTCGCTTTCCATATATCGAGTGTTTATTCCTCAAGTGTCCAGGCGATTCTTGAATTCATTTGAAAGTAGATATGTAGTTCTCTGTCGATATGTCGCTCGTGTCATTTTGTTCTTTTAGATATCATCTGTATTTCACGTACTCTTATAATATTTTCGCACTTGTGAATTTATAATAATCGTCAAACAAATTTATAATAATCTGCAGGCAAAGTGTCAATAGAATTTTCAACGATCTCGTAGAGAAGTTTTATGAATGACAAAATAGAGTTACAAGACGAGAATAACTTTAATAGATCATGCAAATACTTGATATACTGTATAGTCGCAGAGAATCTAAACATAAAAAGTGATCGTATAATATTGTACTATATGATAAGAATAGCTGAAGGATCTAAAAGTTTAATTCTATAAATAGAGATCTGAAAATAATTTTGTTGAACATTAAAATAATTATGTAGAAAAATGGTTGTACAATGTCGAGATATGACGTTGCTCATCATGCTTGAGCCCAATATAATTATTTTGGTAGTCCAAGAGAATTATTTTAAATCAGTATTTAGTTAAAATTTTAGGTGTTTTAAACAAAATCCATGTTTTTTCCATGTTAGATATATAAATAAGTTCCCATTGTTTTTTTTTCTCAAAAATGTACAAACATTTCAATCAAATTTATTTTTCGAATCACTTTTCGCTATTTTACAAACAGCATACGGATGCCGCAACGAAAGAATTTATGTGATTTATCATTCACATTCTTTATCTTTTTTAATTCTGTCTTTTCGATACAAATTATCTATCAATCTTATATACAACATTGTCTATAAATTATTCTGAGTATCACAAATTATTCTGGTTGCTTCAGTAATGGTTTTATCATGATAAAAATAGTGAAATGTACAATGACTACGTTTACACAGCTCGATTTACGCCGAAGTTATAACATTCATGTTATGAAACTGACCAATCACAGTCATTCTATTCTTCAAAGGAATAGCTATGATTGATCAGCTTCATGACATCGATATTATAACTTTGACGTAAATCGAGCCGTGTAAACGTAATAACAGACACACTGAAAAAAATTTCTGTTTAAAAATGAACATTCTGATTACATCAATTAGAATTTTTATTATCTCAATTAAAATTATAATAGACTCAAATAGAAAATTCCTATTTACTCACTTTTAACCAGAATTCGAATTAATGTAAATTTTTTTCTTAGTGCGAATATATATCTTTTCAAAGTTTATTTATTTATTTTCAATTAAACTAAAAATATAATTAATTGTCTAATTGTAAATTATTATATAACTTTCGAAATATAGGTTGGTTAATCTTATTAATAGAAAAATAATTGGACGCGGAAATGTAAATACACTGTTGTTTGGACTATTTAAAATTGACTATAGAAACTTATTTATATAATTGAAATAATTAAAAAGAATTTTTTTCAGCAAAATTATTTGCGCGGCTATTTTATTCGCGAAATTTGATTCTTTATTACTACATAAAAATAAAAAAATATTATAGATATATTATATAAATTAAAGTTATAATCTAGATACTACTGATAAAATAATTATTGATATTAGAAACATCTAAAAATATGATTTTATTAATTTTTGTTGAATTATATTTAAAAGTTTGAAAGGCTATATAATAATATTAGATAATTTATGAATTACTATTGTGATTAATGTGAAATATATCAATTAGTATTGCTTAAATTCTGAAGCATCTAAATTCCTTCTGCACTCAGAATTGCACACACTAATTGTAAAATTTATTTGTTTCCACATCAGATTAAATTTCGTCATGTAACTGGATTTTGCCATTTGTATATATATTTTCTCTATTATCTCTCTCTCTATTAACGCGAATTTACTAATAATTTTGTGTCGTATTAATTAATTTATTTAATTACTCACAGAATTTGTTTAATTTCGTAAAATCTTTACTGGAGATTGCGACTTTACGACATTCAATATTGTAATAAATTATAAATGTAATATAACTTACTGATATTGCTAAATTTTTCTTGAACATATTCGCCACGAACACTTCACAATTTTGTTTGTGAGATTTGAAAGCGTCATTCAAACACAACTTTCTACAAAACTCGATTTCTTGTCCCGGTTACAAACACGCTCCTCAGGGAAGATATCGCGACACGTTTGCCTCTGGAAGTTGTCCTTCAATGTAGGATAATACGCAGCGTCCGGTGTGTCAATCTCATCATATACGCGAAAACGACATGGCTGCTTTTTGTCGAGGTCACAAGTGGTCCTTATAATCCTTGTGCTGCAATATTTCTTCCTTTTTCCGTCGGAGTAAGCCAGAGATCAGATACACGTCTCATTTGCTACTATCGGTGAGATGCCGTCTCTTGTTTCCTCTCCCGACCTAAATTTGGTCCTGCCGTTACTTGAATGCGCGACGAAAGGAGATTTTGTATCTTGTGGCTGCATATCAGGAGTAAGAACGTCGCACGGAATCCTCTCCATGTCGCAATGACTTACGTCGTCATCTTCGTCGTCGTAACGCAATCTTATCGGTGAACGAAGCATCGCGCTTGTGTGCGACACGTTACATCTGAAAATGAACAAAAATTACACTTGTCTTAATTATAATTGTGGATTTCGATTCTGGTATTTTTTAACGTTTGGAACAAAATTACTGATTGAGCTTTGAAATAACAAGTAAATGAGCTGTAGTAAATATTAATTCACTGACAGAAAACAATGATTACATAATTGTCATAATTTAACTTAATTTATAATTATTTTCGGTACAAATATATATTTTTGTATAGAATTATATATACAATATATTAGGTGTTGGAATTAATTCGTAGCGTAACATTAAAGCAATAACAAATAATAACCATAAAAGAATAAAACTCTTTATCATAATTATTTTACTATACAATTATCAAGTCATAAATATCAATCACTTTTCTCTCAGTGTTTTGTATTTCGAAACTAAGTTAACTATTGAAAATTGTTACATACAGTTGGAAAATTTATATTTAATTCATTTATCGAATTTAATACTTTCACGTATTTTAATCGATTTACTCAAATTTTGTATTAATTTAATATAAGAAGAATATATTAGAAAGTAACACAAATATTATGTAAAAAATGAACACAAAATGTAATTAATACAATTTGCAAGCAAATTGTGAAAGCATATTTTTTTAGTAAAATTAATATTTATGATATGTTAAATTAATACGTATTTTATTCATTTTTGTAGAATTTATGTTTTAAAATACATTATTTTTGTATTACTTATTATTTATTTATAAATTGTTATTTTGACACTAGAAAATGTTGAATATCAATTTAACACAAAATCTTTAAATAATGTAATCACATTATTTTAAGTTAACACTTAAATATGATAAAAATTTAATACAAAATTTTAACAAGAACTTGAGTAGATTGCTTTGAACACAAATACAAAATGCTTTATTACTGTGTATTTTCTATAAGTAAATAATCTCGATATTGATAAGACTGACGGGAGGATAATTAATTGCGCGAGTGCTTACTTGATGCTACGTTGATAATGCACACTTCTTACGCGAATTAGCTGGGATCCTCTTCTGGATCCACATCTGCACACCGTGCTATCTTTCATACTGCTGAGATCATCCCTGGTGATAATGGGGCTCGTTGGTGTGCAGTACAATGTCTTTTTAAATGCCAGTCTGTACTTAGCACTCATCACGTTATACAGGATCGGGTTCACGGTGGTGCTGAAGTAGTATAGGCAACCACCGAGTGGATACAGCCAATCATTAATGTCACTGAAGGCCGACATCTGATACACGTACAATAAGCGCTGAGCGTGAAAGGGCGCCCAGCAGATAAAAAATGTTACCACGACCGCACCTGTGAAATGAAGCCATCGGTATCTTTCATACAGCCATAGCGCTGTTTTCACTTCTCGAGGATAAGAGAGAATGCACGAGGAATGCCACGTGGAAAGGATTCAAAAATAATATAAACGTTTTTTTTACTTCCCATGTAACTATTGATTTTCTAAAAAAACTTAATTTCCAAAAATAATTACATAATTCTCTAATAAGATTTTAAATTAAATGTTTCCTAAAATAAGATCTTCTTTAAACATAATTAATGATTAAATAAGATGTTTAAGTTTAAAATTAATGGGAAAGTAAAGATATCTTCAAACGTTTTTATTTGCTGGAATCATCAATTTTTCATGAATCTAAAAGTACTTCGAGAACGTAAAAATCTGTAATATCAATTTATCGATTTTTCGTACTATTCCGACTATTCCGTACATCCATAACGAATGCAGACATGGAAATATTGTTTTATTTATTTCTTGTCTCAATTATGGAAATGTATTCACGTAATAAAAAAAAAATATATGCGTTCTCTGTTTCTGTTTTTTGAGATAGCGAAATATTTATGGAAATAACAGAAATGGAAAGGATACAATGTTTACTATCAGCGAGTATTTTCAATTGCTTTAGAATGAAAAAGGATACGAGATTTGAAACTGTACATCAAATAAGAGAATTTATGCGCGATACTGAGAAATATATTGGAACAATAGAACACAGATATTCATGGAAATTTAAATGATATTCGTACTTCTGTTATATCGTGCGGTATGCTTTTACGTATTGCTGTAATTTATTATATCATCACGCTTGAATAGTTTACGAGCTATACTTTGCTTTCGTGAATCAGCAAATTTATGTCAACGCAAACTGCTTTATAGATTTTACTCAGTCCTGTTATCTTCGTGGCCATGGAAATAGGAAACCTAAGCAGCTTGATGATTAATTGATGCTGCAAACGACTTCCTCTTTATCTTCTCGGAAATATGCTGCACGGCAGTTTACAAGCGCAACAACACAGACATAGAGGAATGACATTCATTGTTAGGAAGTTGACCTTACGCAAAAGAAAAATTATTTTCAGTAGTAATAAAAAACTAGAAAATAATTTATTAAGCATTTAAACCCTATTTAATTTGAATTACTGCTTAAAAATTGTATCAAAAGAATATTTATTGTTAGTAATAATCAAGTGCAATTTAAGTAAAATTTAATTATACTAAATTTTATCAAAAGAATTCTATTTATTCTATATTTTATACACGAATTTAGAAGATATACACTGAAAAAAAATTTATTAAATCTTAATACATATTTTTTCAATAATACTAAACATTTACTATGAATTATTCTAAGTAAATGTTTAGTTCGTATATTATTGAAAAAATAAATATTTACTCAATAAAAAGAATAATAAATTCTTTTAATACAAATTAATGACCATATAAATTTTTGTACCATATAAATATGTTTACCATATAAATATGTTTACATTTAGTAAATATTTAGTTAGTATGATCAAAA